ACATTTGTTTTAAAAATTCCCTATTAGGAAATTTAATGCATTAAACTTTTAAACATTTCTGTTAATAATGTTAACCTGTATTTGTTTCTATTTAAAAGTATTTTATAAGTAACTGTGCAAACCAAACACTAACAGACAAGATAAAGTAATTCACATTTAATTTAATCAATTAAATTTTTCATTTACTTACAGAATGTGGACCATCGATAACTTTAACTATATCTCTTGCTTGAATTTGGTTTTGCTCCGAATCTAGAGCAACTGCTCTTCTTGTGTTAGGTTTTTTCATTACTGACTGATGCTTAACTTTTACTAGCTGGAATAAATAAAAATTAGTTTATGTACAATAATAATTTATGTAATTTGATTACATTAAGGTGAGTAATTAGGATTTAACAAACCTTTCCATGCATGTTTAAAACCTGAAAGTATTCCTTTTCTAATCGTACAATTACTCCAACTGTTTGAGGACTATATGAAACAGATATGAAAAGTTATAAGATTATAGAAAGTTTTAATAAAGATTTACTATTAAATTAATTTATCTAAATCATACAACTTTACTGTTAAGATTAAATACAGTATATCAAAAATATTCATAAAACATTCACTACTTCAAAAACTAGTTGTATGAAATGAAAATACATACACAAAACCAGTAAAGAGATTAATGTTCACACACTCTCTCCCTTACATGAGAGTGAAGAGAAACTGTGGTTCCTCAAAAGCAGAACATAGTTATCCAGAGACCATCATTAAGATACTGTACCCCACAATACATTTCCCAAGGACCAGGCTTATGAACTAAAGGTGATTACATACAATATGACTGTCTAACATTTATAAGAAAATTGCCAAGGTGACTAAAATTAGGATTGCTTACAGGAGAAGTTCAACATTTTTACATTGATTAGAAATGACAAGAACCTAATGGTGGAATGTTTCTTGCCAGGTGTATATGCTAGCCCAGCATCTTTCAAGCTTTTTGCTCATGTGACCCAATATATTTGTAAAGTTCTGCCAGCCAAATGTTTATTTAAATTTTTTAAAAAAACCTGGTAAACTGGAGTCACTATATATAACGAAATAAAAGTATGAAATATTGATAGCAACTTCAATATGTGTAATGTAACATTGAGTAAATTTATATTAAGAGCAGTTCAGGCCAATTTTGATTTCTAATAACTTAAATTTCAATAATAAAAAAATGAAACTGAACAATCTTAACAATGAAATATCAACAAATATCTTAAACCTTTTACTAATTGGTCTTTTTGTTTGTTTGTGTATGTTAATAAGCATAAAATTTATATATAATTTGTTTTAATAATTAATATTTTACTTTGATGTAATACATGAATATGATAAGAAAACCACTAGATAACTTCAAACTAGAAATCTAAAGAATTTCAGTTAACAACACAACTTAATCTAGTACTTCACATATAGATTACATTTCAAGAGTATTTCAGAAATATATATAAAAAATTAATAATAAAATTCTACAACGTAACAAATAATACAGCATTAATTTAATAGCTTTATCTGGTTCAAAAAACTGTGGCAGAACATAATGCAATTCATCTATAATTAGTGAGAATAGAAATCCATCACACATTAACTATTCAAGAATGTGTAAAATATACTTTGTCTCTTGTATTTATGTTTGCTTTAAAAAGTTTACCATGAAAATATATAAATTAAAATCATAAATTTCATACTTTACTTGAATACCTTATATTTAAAGAATAGCCAAATATGTGATTTAATACACGTTTTACTCAATTTTATAATTTTTCAAATAGTAATTAATAATGGCTTATAAATTAAGATGAAAACATGTTTGTTAGTAAAAGTATTCCTAGATTCATAAAAGTATTTAACTATTTTTACTTTCCTAGCTGTTATATTGTGTAACAGACATGGCCAACAAGTCAATCAATACATCATTTTTGTACAAACATTGCTAAACCCAATATATAATATAGCTAAATACCAACCGAATGCCGAATATCTATCGGGCTAGTATAAGGCTAATTACTAAATGAATTATGTGACCAATTTGGCTCTAGAGGTAAGCGTTAGGCACCATCTCTTATTAACATTAATAATTATATTGTATTTAACATCATTGGTTGGTTGGTATTTAACATCATTTTTGATCAATCACAGATAAAATGCTTGTTAAAATGCAGAAAACATTGTAATAAAACTGGTGTGCCAAAGAGAATCAAAACTTATAATTTTTGTCGTAAAAAAAAAAAAAACATAAATGGGGATCCATTTAATTTATATTTTAGTGTTGTTACAAAATTAAACCTAGAATGTTAATTACTGTGCATAAATACAGTGAAACCTCGGTTAACGAACGTCCTGGTTAACAACCAAATCGGTTAACGAACTTTTATTTTGGAAAAATTTTGTCTTGGATAACGAACAAAATTCGGATAATGAACTTAACGGCTTTTTGTGTCAAATTTGTAAGCTTGCCGGCTTTTAGGGAAAATCAGTTAATCGTGTGTCGGTGATGGTCTAGGATTCATTCGTACGTTGGTGTGGCGGAGGAGACAAAGATGACAAGTATTTTACGGTGAAAATCGTTTATTAGAACGGGAAGATGCTTACATATTTGAGGTAGTTGGAAATAGCACTATCTAGAAATCTACAGTATTTTCTCTCGGCACTGAGAAATGGCGTATCGCTGGTCGTACGATAGTGCAAGCTGATCAGTCATAGCCCCAGAGCGGACGAGATGGGTTCGCTTGGTCACAGAAGCGATGGTAGGTGACAGAGCTGCAACAACTGAAGTGGTCCGCGAGACACAACACAAATTATAGCGGGCACAACTTCAGGCTTAATCCAGATGAACACGACACAGATTAATCGCCGTAGAATTTTTAGGAAAACTGCGTTTTGATCTTGAGATTTGGGGTTTTTATAGTATTTCTTCATTGAATCTCACCTTACAATTAGTCCTGCATCCCATTCCTCGCTTCCCGATTGTTTTCTTCTTTGTCTCCAGGTGAAAACAGAAACCAGATCAGGTCACGAGAAAGGTTTGTTCCGAGGCGTTTATTTGACACCTGTTCGTCAACTCTGATTGTTGATAAACCTATAAGCCTTTCGCTCATAATTTAGCCTATTGTTTCTGCTATCTGTCATTTTACAACTTTAACGACTGTATGTAATGTTTTTATACCCGTCAAATCTTTCCCCTTTTCCGAAAATTTAACCTAGATTGACTGTTTATGAGCACGTTTTCCTATATTTTCATTAAAGAAAACCCATTTTACAAATAAAATTACAAAAATACTGACGTCTAGAACGGATTAATCGTATTTGAATTAATTTTTATGGGAAAAATTGCTTCGGTTAACGACCGGACTCGTGGAACGGATTACGTTCGTTATCCAGGGTTCCACTGTAATTTCATTAGAGAGGATTATTAAGCTTTTATGAAACAAAAATGTGGAGTAGATCACTGGTGCCTTTGACTTGTGAAAGTCTTATCACTATAAGTTGGCCAGACCTGGAATATAGTGTATGGAAAGTAAGACGATTGATCAAATAATGAACAGCTGGTAATTTTACATTTCTTGACATTTTGACACTCCATGAGTAACCCACACACTGAAAATTTGAGAAGGAAGGGGGGAATCACTCATAGTAGTCGCACCTTGCTAATGATGCCAACTTTACATAAATAAATTACAACTACACAGTTAGACTGAGTGTTATCTGTTGGGGCTTAAACATTATCACTGATAATGCAGATAAATGCACTGGCAGTTTCATAATGCTGTGAGACATTTCAAGCTGATACAAAAAATTTTGTATTGTATTTGGTTTGAAAAACTGATTTTAGTTTGAAGAGATCAGCTAAGCTAGGAAAATTTCATACTTAAAAAGTTAAAAAAGAAACTATGCTTTTTCTTTAAAATTAACTTCCTAAATATATATCAAAAATTAAATATTTATAATCCTAAAACTTAAAATGATTTTTATGTAAAAAATCATTTAAAGAGATTTTCATCTACAGATTTTAAAATAATTTATAATTAAAGAACAATTTAACAAGAATCACACAAGAATTTATGGTTTAAAATGCCATTTTTAGCATTACAACTATCAAAGAAATTACTTACTCTAATTGTACAAGATCACCCCATTGGAACTGGCCCAAAGAGTCTACACCTGTTGCCATATCTGAACATAGTTGAAGATCTCTAGGTAATACTTTTAGCTTTAAAATAAAATAAAAAATTTAATAAAAACATCTCACATAAGATCCAAAATACTTTGAAAATAAATAATTAAGACATAATTCTTACTTCATGCATTGTTAAATCTGAAAACAAGACGACAAGATTTTCTTCAACTCTAACAATTAATCCAGTGTCTCCTTCATAACGTCCACCTATTACTTTAACATGGTCTCCCATTTTAAAATATTTTCTTAACTCATTAGCTTGAAATTCCAAAGGATCCTACAAGAATTGTAAAATAAATTTTTGACAATTCAAAGAAAGAAAGAAAAAAAATTAAAATTATTCATATTTAGACTATTTACTTTTAAATCTTCATGTTTAGGCATCATTGTAATTTTATTTCCATCGACAGAAATGACTTTTCCTTGCAAATGAATCAATTCACCTTCTGATACTTCTATATTATCCCCAGCTGCAAAATTGTGACTCTGGTTTTCTTTTCCTCTTCTGTCAGTTACTGAAATTTTTCATTAAAAAATTAGTCTTAAATTTACATTTGTTGGTAATTTTATTAATAATATTGTTAATATNTATATCCTGAAGGGCTCGGTGTACCTAAGCATAAAATTTTAATTTTAAATATTGAATTTTAACAATTTTAATTTTTATGTTTTATTTTAATTTACCTTGAAATCCAGTTGGAGATGGTGAGGCTTGATATGGAGAATATGTATGATCAGAACTGTACATTCCAGTACTTCCAGGTGTTTGGGGAGTGTAGGGTCCCTGTGGAGTTTCTGGTTGATAACCAGGTGTGGCTGGATTAAAACTTGGTGATGGGGACGGCTCGTCAAAATGATAATCCTCAAAATCATTTGACCTGAATAATGGCATTAATTATTATTATGAAAAACCACTCTTAATAGATCAGTTTAATTTTAATTATTTTCAGTCTACCTTGCTGGAGTGTTTGCATTTGTTGGGTCCCAAGCACCACCGTGACTTGGAGTTCGACTACCTTCGTGTAGGGGTGTCTGGCTTCCATAATGTGGTGTTCTACTTCCATCGTGAAGAGGTGTCTGAGAACCATACATTGGTGTTCTCGATCCAATACCATACATTGGAGTTTGACTTCCATAAATTGGAGTCCTGCTGAATGATGCCACTTTTGTGGTACCACTGTATTGAAAGTTCAAATTAAGTAAGATCAATACATATGTTAAAAATTTATAGATCAAATATTAGGAAAAAAACTTGCCCAATAACAGCAATTCTTGTTCTATCTACAGAAATAGTCTGACATTTGGAATGCAGTTCAACACGAGCAGTGGATTCCGTAGCATCTTTTACAATGCCTATATGTCCTGTTAAATTCGATAAATTTAAATAAATTATTTCAATCATGAAATAAACATCTTTAAAATGAAATTATACCTTTGTAAGGACCCTGGGTAATTTTTATAGTTTGGCCAATTAATTCATTATCTCGTCTCCCCCTTCCTCTTCCCATTCCACCTCCTCCAACAGGTGACTGACCTCCACCTGAAGGATGCATAGGACTAGAGATTCTTGGAGACATGTAGCCAGCTACAGACGACGTTGTTGATTGCTAAATAATTAATAAGAGTACATTATTAAATATTTTTTATGTACAGAATTTTTGATCACATGATCACAAATTAATGAAGAACAAATATGATAATTCATATAATTATCCACCAAATAATCTTAGAAATAAACCATATTTTTATCTTTACTTCATAAAATTAATTCTGTAGTTATAGAGAATGGACCAAAAATCAGTTATATTCAATCATTTGAAATATTTTTATAGTTCATTTATTTATTCTTACAAATTTAAATACAAAAATATTTTCAATGAATAATATATTTATGTTCTGTTAGATTCTATAACTATCAAACAATAAATTTAAATTATCATATCAGAAATTAACTGGGGTCATGAAGTTGTCATCATATAAATAATTTTAAAAAATGTCAGAAATGAAGTTGTTAATGCTATTGGATAAATATCTGAAGTAGTATAATAATATTGAAAAATTTGAATATGGTATATTCCAATATGCATTGAACAGCACATTAGTAAACTGACACATTAAAATGTATTCTAATATTCACTAACGAGTTCATTGGTGCAGCAACCAATGTCTGTTGCACTTGTCAGGCTGTGGGTATGGCAAGTTGATTCATTAGTTTAATTTACTAATAGGAAATGATAAAGGATTGTGGCCATAGCTAGAATCCACTAATTATCATTTGCTATATATTTTGCTATAATCAAAAGACAAATTTGCAATATCCTATATATATATATATTATATAAAAACAACCCTGCTAAATTTCAAATTTTAGGTTTGTCGTCCTCAGATGTAATGCAAAATAGACAACAACACAACTAACACACAGAAATTTGTAATGAGTGTTTTTTTTTTACATTTTTGGGCTCATGGAGTGTCAAAAATGAACTGAGGGGAGGTCAAAATTTGTTTGATCATCACTCTTTCCTTGTTATATTCTTTAACAACCAAGAAATTAACAATTATGAAATGTAGTGTCATTTAATGAATAGGAGCTTGAAATTTTTTTGCCGACACTAACTCAACAATAATATTGTTTCGTAAGTTGGGCTAAGTAGATTCTTGAATATAAATGATAATTTTAAAAATTAAAAATGCACCATGTGATTCCTTTTTGACTCACATAATTCACAACAGAAGCTTAATAATCATATTAAAATATAATTTCACATCAGTTTTAATATTAAGTACGAGACAATAACTTTATGCTAAAACTACATCCATAGCACACAGTTTTAGATAAGATTTAAATAAATATAAACATAAAAGAAATTAATACATTATTAAATTTTTGTCTTTTAATTTTCTAATTTACAATGTCTAATAATTGCTTAAATGTAAGGACTAATCTAACAATTGCTATGCTACATCCAAAAAGTCTATAGTTCAAAAAAATATTCTCACATCATGTCAAATACAAGATAGATTTGCTGACTTAATTTTAATATTACATCAAAATTTTAATAGATAGATAGTCTTTAATAGTATTTTCTCACATTTATCTATCAGATACTCTTCCTTGAGATAAAAGTATTGTAGGTTAAAGAAATATTGATTAGAAATAAAAAAGAGAGTTATTGTACATTTATAAATACAAATATAAAATTAAATCTCAATTTTTAAATGAAGAAATGTTTCTACAAATTGTATAAAGAGAATAATTATGAATTAACATCTTCAAATTATTAATGAATTTTTAATAAAATGTTTTTGTTATTCCATATTAATCCATATAATGTATTAAAGTTTGTTAATATTATACAACAATAAACACACACAAATTAAAAAAGAAACGCATAATGCTAATTAGCATCATTGTCATTGACTGATACAGAATATACATGTTCTTCACAGTGAAAAATTAGTAAATGCTTTAAAGATATATTCCCCAAAAATCTCACAGTATCCCTTTGATAGACAGATTAAAATCAATGCAACTTTAACATTGAGTGAAGTTGCCATACACCACTAATTGCCATACAGTAGCGCGTCGTTTATCCAAATCAATTGGGGACTGGGGTTGTTCAGATAATCAATTATGTACGAAAAAATATATTAACCTATTCCATGTTGAAATTTTTCTCCATTGCATGTCGCTTCGTGTTGAATTTTTATCAATGTTAAGCCTAACGAAATTTTTATAATAATAATAATTGTGGCTATTGTATTGTTAAAAATTATGTCTTTATTTTGTACAGACAAAATAAATATATTGAAAAAAATAAATAAATAAATACTTTACAAGTTAATCTAGTATCAAAAGACATTTGATTCAGCACGACGCACAGTCCTCAGAAAAACACTACACAAAAGTGCTAGTGCTGCCAGCTAAAACACACACACCAACAAAAAAAATATAGGAGTAGCCCAAGACATAGCCAAAGGTTGCAGCACCACAGCACTAGCAGAAATTTAAATTTGCAGACTGGAATGCTTTCAGTTAACTCAGTTAACTCAGTTAACTGAAAGCATTTAAGTTTTGGTTGACCGACTTTTGGATAAACAACACTCTACTGTCATTTATAGAAAATATATTTCGTTTTGACTATACATACATAGATGAGTCTTTGTCAATTTTCTCTCTCTTCACAAGCTGTATGAATTGTTATTGCCTCGTACAGTATGTGAAGGGACAGAAAATTGACAAAGATTCATCTATGTATGTATAGTCAAAACGAAATATATTTTCTATAAATGTCATAATTTGTCCTGGCAATTTTTTATTTTTTACCGCTCTACTGTATTTGCAACAAAAGATTGCAAGTTAGAATTTAACCAATTACCATTTTCTTTACTTTCAGTACATGAATGCTTATTAACTTCTAACTATAGATCCTTGGTTGTGAATATAGCCGTAACATTTTTCACCTGTTAATGAGCCATCTCCAGCAAATTCATTTGCAAAGATGGCTCTTTAACCAGGTTGAAATGTTAGCATTATTTAAGTTCATTCACTATAAAAGATGCATTGATTAATTCAGCTGAGTACTAGTTTAATCTTATATTTCTTTAATATCTACATAATCAGTTGATAATCTCCGTATTATATAATAAATGATTTTATTGCATAATAATTTACTTATATTCAAAAAGTTACAATATTGTCATTTTTTTTTTAAATTATACAATATCATTTTGTAATTAATAATAAATTTGATGGATACTTTAACTAGATTCAAGATACTTTACTAATTCAGAAGTTTCATGTTTTATTAAAATGAACTAACTAATTATTATGCCTTTTTGTCCTTTTTTTTTTTATCTATTTATAATTTATTTTGTATACTAGTACTTTCTATGTATTAACAGGACTTATTATACTGGAAAATTATGGATGCAGATATTTAGTCTTACAGTTCAAAAATAATGTTATTTATTTAGTTCACCTGTTCCAGTATAATAAGTCCTGTTAATACATAGGAAGTACTAGTATACAAAATAAATTATGAACTAACTAATATTCTCACATTACTCAATTTCTTAAACATAAAACTTCTGAATATTTATCAACTATAAACACGATTCACAAACTTTTATGTAACAATTTACTTTTTAAATAATTCTGTATGTATCCATGTTTTGCACTATTAAACTATTACATAATTATATTGAAAAAAATCATTTAACAAACTTACTCTTGAACTACCAGCCTGTACTAAATGTCTTGTTTTACACACAAAAATTCCACCATTATCCAGCAGCATACGTGAATGAAGAAATGCAAAACTTCTATAGAGGTGTTTAATTTCACCTTGCCGACCCTAAAAAATTTTAAATAGGAATATTGACATAATTATATTTAATCAATCAATTTTAATAAAAATAAAACAGATATTAAAAATGGAAAACTGAGAATTTGTTTATTTCAACACTGACTGATAATATGCTGTCAAATCTTAATTTTTGGCTACTTCAAATTGTTAAGTATTGTGAATTATAAAAAAAACATGGAATACTGCAGACTATTTTTGTGAAGTGATTCTAATAACTACTTTATAAATATATTCAAAGAATTTTTTGTAAAAAGAAAGTTTCTCAGTTAAATATCAAACTTATTGAATTTTCAAATGTCAAAAATTGGATTTTGGGACATTAAGAAATTATTGAAATCTGAAAAATATCTTACATTTCCACAATATGCCTTATTTGATTTTTACTTTAAAAAACTTTCTGGTTTAGTGTACTTTTTACAATGTTCATTGGGACAAAACTAATGTCACCAAGTGTATCAGAAATAATCACCACCTTGAACATGCAGTAGTCCTCAAAATCTATAAATCAATATTAAGAGAAACTACTGTCAACTACTAGGACCTAAACACAAAGTAACAAAATGCTCATTGTGTTATAAATTATTATTTTTGTCTATTAGTTTTTTGCACACGTCATAATGACACAGCAGAAAGTCAATTTTTTTTATTTTAAAATACATTTGGCACTTGCATATATTTCCGTTCTATTTCCTTCAGTATTTGTGTAGATTAATTAAAGCTTAATCTTTGTGTATATAAAGATCATTCAAAATAATCAATGTTTTTGGTGACCAAAAACATTAATTTTTACCAGTTTAATAAGCCCTTTTTTTTTTATTGCTGTACAAGTCATATATAGATTCATGAGTATACTACTTTGATTTTTAATGACTTTAAATATATTAACTGTTTTTATAAATCTCATTTTTTTTCCTTTTCTATAATATTAGGTCAGTCCATAAGTTCCTGCGTATTTTATGACCTTGTTTTGCTGTTAAAAATGCCAGTCTAATGTGATACTTTTTACACTGAAGTGTTAAATTGGATCTCATTCATATAATACTGTTCAGAATTGGGAACATTTCAGTTGTTTATTTTCGTTAAAATGGAAGTAACAGATGAATATAAGAGACATGTTTTATACTTTTTATTTTTAAGTNAAGAGATTAATGTTCACACACTCTCTCCCTTACATGAGAGTGAAGAGAAACTGTGGTTCCTCAAAAGCAGAACATAGTTATCCAGAGACCATCATTAAGATACTGTACCCCACAATACATTTCCCAAGGACCAGGCTTATGAACTAAAGGTGATTACATACAATATGACTGTCTAACATTTATAAGAAAATTGCCAAGGTGACTAAAATTAGGATTGCTTACAGGAGAAGTTCAACATTTTTACATTGATTAGAAATGACAAGAACCTAATGGTGGAATGTTTCTTGCCAGGTGTATATGCTAGCCCAGCATCTTTCAAGCTTTTTGCTCATGTGACCCAATATATTTGTAAAGTTCTGCCAGCCAAATGTTTATTTAAATTTTTTAAAAAAACCTGGTAAACTGGAGTCACTATATATAACGAAATAAAAGTATGAAATATTGATAGCAACTTCAATATGTGTAATGTAACATTGAGTAAATTTATATTAAGAGCAGTTCAGGCCAATTTTGATTTCTAATAACTTAAATTTCAATAATAAAAAAATGAAACTGAACAATCTTAACAATGAAATATCAACAAATATCTTAAACCTTTTACTAATTGGTCTTTTTGTTTGTTTGTGTATGTTAATAAGCATAAAATTTATATATAATTTGTTTTAATAATTAATATTTTACTTTGATGTAATACATGAATATGATAAGAAAACCACTAGATAACTTCAAACTAGAAATCTAAAGAATTTCAGTTAACAACACAACTTAATCTAGTACTTCACATATAGATTACATTTCAAGAGTATTTCAGAAATATATATAAAAAATTAATAATAAAATTCTACAACGTAACAAATAATACAGCATTAATTTAATAGCTTTATCTGGTTCAAAAAACTGTGGCAGAACATAATGCAATTCATCTATAATTAGTGAGAATAGAAATCCATCACACATTAACTATTCAAGAATGTGTAAAATATACTTTGTCTCTTGTATTTATGTTTGCTTTAAAAAGTTTACCATGAAAATATATAAATTAAAATCATAAATTTCATACTTTACTTGAATACCTTATATTTAAAGAATAGCCAAATATGTGATTTAATACACGTTTTACTCAATTTTATAATTTTTCAAATAGTAATTAATAATGGCTTATAAATTAGGATGAAAACATGTTTGTTAGTAAAAGTATTCCTAGATTCATAAAAGTATTTAACTATTTTTACTTTCCTAGCTGTTATATTGTGTAACAGACATGGCCAACAAGTCAATCAATACATCATTTTTGTACAAACATCGCTAAACCCAATATATAATATAGCTAAATACCAACCGAATGCCGAATATCTATCGGGCTAGTATAAGGCTAATTACTAAATGAATTATGTGACCAATTTGGCTCTAGAGGTAAGCGTTAGGCACCATCTCTTATTAACATTAATAATTATATTGTATTTAACATCATTGGTTGGTTGGTATTTAACATCATTTTTGATCAATCACAGATAAAATGCTTGTTAAAATGCAGAAAACATTGTAATAAAACTGGTGTGCCAAAGAGAATCAAAACTTATAATTTTTGTCGTAAAAAAAAAAAAAACATAAATGGGGATCCATTTAATTTATATTTTAGTGTTGTTACAAAATTAAACCTAGAATGTTAATTACTGTGCATAAATACAGTGAAACCTCGGTTAACGAACGTCCTGGTTAACAACCAAATCGGTTAACGAACTTTTATTTTGGAAAAATTTTGTCTTGGATAACGAACAAAATTCGGATAATGAACTTAACGGCTTTTTGTGTCAAATTTGTAAGCTTGCCGGCTTTTAGGGAAAATCAGTTAATCGTGTGTCGGTGATGGTCTAGGATTCATTCGTACGTTGGTGTGGCGGAGGAGACAAAGATGACAAGTATTTTACGGTGAAAATCGTTTATTAGAACGGGAAGATGCTTACATATTTGAGGTAGTTGGAAATAGCACTATCTAGAAATCTACAGTATTTTCTCTCGGCACTGAGAAATGGCGTATCGCTGGTCGTACGATAGTGCAAGCTGATCAGTCATAGCCCCAGAGCGGACGAGATGGGTTCGCTTGGTCACAGAAGCGATGGTAGGTGACAGAGCTGCAACAACTGAAGTGGTCCGCGAGACACAACACAAATTATAGCGGGCACAACTTCAGGCTTAATCCAGATGAACACGACACAGATTAATCGCCGTAGAATTTTTAGGAAAACTGCGTTTTGATCTTGAGATTTGGGGTTTTTATAGTATTTCTTCATTGAATCTCACCTTACAATTAGTCCTGCATCCCATTCCTCGCTTCCCGATTGTTTTCTTCTTTGTCTCCAGGTGAAAACAGAAACCAGATCAGGTCACGAGAAAGGTTTGTTCCGAGGCGTTTATTTGACACCTGTTCGTCAACTCTGATTGTTGATAAACCTATAAGCCTTTCGCTCATAATTTAGCCTATTGTTTCTGCTATCTGTCATTTTACAACTTTAACGACTGTATGTAATGTTTTTATACCCGTCAAATCTTTCCCCTTTTCCGAAAATTTAACCTAGATTGACTGTTTATGAGCACGTTTTCCTATATTTTCATTAAAGAAAACCCATTTTACAAATAAAATTACAAAAATACTGACGTCTAGAACGGATTAATCGTATTTGAATTAATTTTTATGGGAAAAATTGCTTCGGTTAACGACCGGACTCGTGGAACGGATTACGTTCGTTATCCAGGGTTCCACTGTAATTTCATTAGAGAGGATTATTAAGCTTTTATGAAACAAAAATGTGGAGTAGATCACTGGTGCCTTTGACTTGTGAAAGTCTTATCACTATAAGTTGGCCAGACCTGGAATATAGTGTATGGAAAGTAAGACGATTGATCAAATAATGAACAGCTGGTAATTTTACATTTCTTGACATTTTGACACTCCATGAGTAACCCACACACTGAAAATTTGAGAAGGAAGGGGGGAATCACTCATAGTAGTCGCACCTTGCTAATGATGCCAACTTTACATAAATAAATTACAACTACACAGTTAGACTGAGTGTTATCTGTTGGGGCTTAAACATTATCACTGATAATGCAGATAAATGCACTGGCAGTTTCATAATGCTGTGAGACATTTCAAGCTGATACAAAAAATTTTGTATTGTATTTGGTTTGAAAAACTGATTTTAGTTTGAAGAGATCAGCTAAGCTAGGAAAATTTCATACTTAAAAAGTTAAAAAAGAAACTATGCTTTTTCTTTAAAATTAACTTCCTAAATATATATCAAAAATTAAATATTTATAATCCTAAAACTTAAAATGATTTTTATGTAAAAAATCATTTAAAGAGATTTTCATCTACAGATTTTAAAATAATTTATAATTAAAGAACAATTTAACAAGAATCACACAAGAATTTATGGTTTAAAATGCCATTTTTAGCATTACAACTATCAAAGAAATTACTTACTCTAATTGTACAAGATCACCCCATTGGAACTGGCCCAAAGAGTCTACACCTGTTGCCATATCTGAACATAGTTGAAGATCTCTAGGTAATACTTTTAGCTTTAAAATAAAATAAAAAATTTAATAAAAACATCTCACATAAGATCCAAAATACTTTGAAAATAAATAATTAAGACATAATTCTTACTTCATGCATTGTTAAATCTGAAAACAAGACGACAAGATTTTCTTCAACTCTAACAATTAATCCAGTGTCTCCTTCATAACGTCCACCTATTACTTTAACATGGTCTCCCATTTTAAAATATTTTCTTAACTCATTAGCTTGAAATTCCAAAGGATCCTACAAGAATTGTAAAATAAATTTTTGACAATTCAAAGAAAGAAAGAAAAAAAATTAAAATTATTCATATTTAGACTATTTACTTTTAAATCTTCATGTTTAGGCATCATTGTAATTTTATTTCCATCGACAGAAATGACTTTTCCTTGCAAATGAATCAATTCACCTTCTGATACTTCTATATTATCCCCAGCTGCAAAATTGTGACTCTGGTTTTCTTTTCCTCTTCTGTCAGTTACTGAAATTTTTCATTAAAAAATTAGTCTTAAATTTACATTTGTTGGTAATTTTATTAATAATATTGTTAATATTAAAAAAAAAAAAAAACACTACATTCAAGCTCTATTCCTTCTGGTTGTTCCTCAAACTTTTCTAATTCGGAAAGAGTTGGTTTCACACCATCAGCAATCTGAAATATGAGAATAAATTAAACTCAATTTAAATACTAACAAATATTAATTAACAGTTTACAATGTAATAATTATTTAAGAGTTCAAAGGTCTTACAATAGCTGACATAGCAAAAGCTTTAAACAAAAATCCTTTCCGACTGTAACGATTTCCTTCAAAAATAAGAAAATCACCATCTGTTGTAACTTCTCCACCAATTGTCCTATAAAAGTTTAAGTGAATATAATTAGTAACTTCATTGCTTAATTGTTGTTGCTAACTTTTCTTCAAACAAACCTGATAGCATCAACATCAAATAGCTTTGATGCTGGTCTCTTATTTTTTTTCCTTTTCTCTGGTTCCTACAAAAAAAAAGAAGAAAAAAAAATTAATGTAACAACAACATGGAAATTGTAAACTTAATGACAATGTAAATGTAACAAGCTTACTTACATTAGATGTAGTCCTTAATGCTCCACGTAATCTAGTATAATCAATACGTGGTATTAATTTTAAATGCACTTGATTCTGTGCTGTATCTACAAAATCTACCTGAGTGAAAATATAATTCATTCTGTTATATTAATGTTTACAAACTGAAGTTAAATTAAATTATTCTTTATATTTACCTGAGCTAAATCATCTTTATAAATTCCACGTTTCAATCTCACCCATTGTTTTGCTTTCAATTGAGCTTGTTCTTTAGTGACACGCAAAACATCAACCATTTCTTTAATGGGAACCATCTGTAGGATTTTTAATACTTAGGAAAAGAAACTATTATATAATTACTTATAAAAATTTAATTTACTAACCGTTTGCTGGTACTGTCCCATTCGTAAACTGCCTACTTGCTGAATGGCTTGTTTGACATGGGTCTGTTTATATGCTTCAATATAAATATAACCTTTAACACCTTCAGGAGAGATTACACTTTTTATTTGCAATGGCTAAAACAAATTTATAAGAATTAAATAAAAAAGAAAGAATATCAAATAAATGTTATAATAAATTAAAATTTTTACTTCGTCACTGTATTGATATGCAATGAATTTCCTCATTAATGAAAGTACTGTTGCTTTTTCTTCCCCTATTTTGCATTTAACCATCCACAAATTAGGATCTCTGAAAGATTCAACTAATTTATGAATTTCAACATAATTTATTGTTAATTGATATTAAAAATATACTTACTTAACTCCCGGGAGTAATGTCTGTTGAGCAATTTCATCTGACAATTCCATATCACCTTCACCATAGCCTCGTTCAGCTGCTGACGTTTCAGCATATTTTCTTCTATAATAATCTTCAATTTCATCTTCCTTCTGAGAACTATTCAAAGAACAGTATATATGATACATCCATACTTTATAGTGAATTAAGATTTGCAAATTGATATTTATCCAACTTAAGAATTAGCTTACGTCCACATCATCTGCAGGCGGCGATGACTGTCAATGTCCCTTGATGTAGTTTCTTCATTAGGTCGTGTACGATCAATAATATCTTCAGCTCCTTCCTCCCATTCTTCTTCCTCTTCAACTTCGTCATCGACCTCTGCCTCATCAAGGATAAAGTCATACCGGGGTCTTTTCCTTTTTCTTTTATGCCCCACCTCCTCTTCTTCTTCCTCTTCATCTTCTTCATAATCATCCTAAAATAATTTAGTGAAATTGTATTTGGGATCAAAGCTGAAAAGATTTTTCAAATCTTTTAAAAAATTAATGATTTGTTTTTCATGCTATTTTATATGAATATCTATGTCTAACATTACAAAAAACATGATTTTACACACTTAAAGAAAAATGAATTTATTTCATACTTATGTGGTTTAAAACAAAAAACATTCTGCTTTTCTAGAAATATGTAGCATGGGAAACTACTAAAAATAAAAACAAGTAACAAATTATGAATAATTACATCATCATCTTCCTCCTCCTCTTCTTCATCTAAATTTTCACCTTCTGGTTCTTCTTCAGGTTCTGCTTCTGCTTCAGCAACATCGTCAGGTACTTCTTCAGCCTCATCATCTAATCCACCAGGACTATCATCATCGCTGCCTGCATCACTAGCAACTTCTTCCTGTTCTTGCTATATTGATAACAAAAAAAAAGCACGTTTTATAAATTTTAAACAACATAACATAATTCATAATACAAATACACTAACAGAAATTTAATTTACTACAATATATTTAGTATTTTTACTTCAGTCTACCAAAGCATTATAAAATGGCTAACATGAGGTAAAAAACAGTCTCTGTAACAAAATCTACTGTTCTACATTAAATTATAAATCTATATGTTTTAAATCATGCATTTCTAAAAACAGAAGTGTCTTTACATTTTGTCCTCTCACATTTTTGGGTTCTAATAATCTGATGAGGATTTTGCAGAGTCAATATTTTCTTTGAGATTTATCCACCTCATATGGAAAAACTTTAAAAATAGTTTATCTGGTAACAGTATAATTAAAAATATAAATTTCTCCTTACAGTGCTGAATTCTGAAGGTGTGAAAAAGGATAAAATACAAAAAAACTTATTTTTTATTCAGTGTTTCCTCTCTGCAGATGATAATTAATCATTATCCTGATAATTTATTTATTTGTGTTTAAAAATCCAGCAATGAGTTGTATAACTTTCCCAGCTATTATGAGATCTTATTTAGAAAGTAACTTTTTATAATTTTAGTAAAATTGTGTGTGGCGCCACCTGTAATGAGATTTTGTTATGAAAAACTTTTTATATTTTTAATTACTATAAAATGGCAAAAAGCTTAATTTTGAGGGCAGGGATGAATTTTATAAAAAAGTATAAGTGTTAATAACAAATAAAATAATCATTAAGTTTGACTCTACTGCAAATAAAAACAACTCCCTTTATCTCACCACCCTCTCGACCTTTAACCACCAAAATTTAATAGCATCAAAGCCCCTCATATACAAGGTACTATGCCAAATTTTATTTAATCTTTAACCCATTCTGAGATATTAAGTAAAATAGACACTAATTTTTTTTTACTTTTTTTTATTTTTATTTATTTATTTTTTTACTTTTTTGGATTGAGGAAGTCTCAATTTAGATTTGCAAAATCTTGAAGGGTCAAATTTGATGTGATTCCAATACTTTATGTATACATAACAACCAAGTAAGTAAAATTGTTTAAATAAATTTTTAAAAAATCACATCAAAAACAAGATATTAATGAGCAAGACTAATGATTAAACTCTAAAATGAATTTAATTACTAGTCTATAGCTAAATCAAATTTACATAAAAAGTTGCTTACCTCACTCTCATTACCTCCCTGGTCACTTTCATTCTCAGAAAACAAACTTCCTTCACTATCAGACATTTTCAAATGATCTACAATAATAAATTAGCATTCAACATGTTGCACTATTACATTTTAAACATTTCACACAAATATTTTAACAGCAGAAAGTTAAAAAAACTTTAATCAACTTCTTAAAATGAACTTTTAATAAATACTAATAATTTTTATTACTGTATTTTAAATGAACTATAATTGTCTCTTTCCACTGTAACTTTGTATGTTAAATGTAAAGTCCTGACTGTTATTAACGATATTAACTGTTTAGTAATCAGAGTATAATGATGTAAGCATTTTACATTCTGATATTCACTATATAAGTAACAAATTGTTGTATGTAATGTGCTTTTTTTTTATTTTCATAAACTAATTGGGATTTAAGATTGAATAATGTAAATCATTATTTAAAAATAAAGAGAATAAAAAGTAATGATTTACAGTTGGAAAAAGGCTGCTTGTCAATGTTTTCCCACAGAATGCCAATTTTCAGGAATGAATTACTGATTTTAAGTGGTAGATACAGTATTTTCACAACAAAGTTAAAGCTACTTTCCTTTGTCATATTACATTTTTCAGTTAAAACTCAAATGACAGATTTCTGTACAAAAATAAATCAACTTTGTTATTTCTTTTAATATACATAAAATGTGAGAATAATTTCTGTTGAGAGTAATGTAACTACAACTGCAGTTATATAAAATATTTAAAAGCATAGCATAAAAATCTAACTGTAAAAAAAAATTACATTACAATGCAATAAAAATAAATTTCTATGAATTTTTTAAAACATTTTAATTTCTTTATCTATACAGGAGTTGCAAAAAAAAATTCTTCCTGGAAATGGGTGATTGAACTTGTTGAGATAAGCAAAAAATGTGGAGTAACATATTTGCAAATTTCAATCAACTTTTTCCAGGAACTACATTATAGTTATTGCTACTTAAACTATCATTTTAAAGATAAAAATTTATTGAACTGAACAATTGTTTTAAAACAAGAAAAACATGAAATAGTTTCCACTTTATTTCTAATAAACTCCTCTTTAAAAAGACATCTCTCAGTGTTGCCATTTTAGAAAAGAAAAAATAACTGCAATGACAAGTTTTTTGAAAATGTTTTCTATCTGCCCTTCCATTTTCAGTCATGGTCAACAGTTGGCAGATATGTAGTGGTAGCCCATCCTAACATCATTTGGCAAAACTTTAACCTCAAATAATAAATGCACTAAATACTGGATATTCATAACATTTTCACAAGCTTAATTTTTTGTTGTGTAACACAATGTTGTAGAAAAATGAACATTTTCAATTGCTTTTAGCAATCATCCTCTAGTTAAACAACTTATTTGGAAACCTATCAGAATAAAATGCATTATGGAATATAATAAAATATAAAACAAACATCTGACTGGCTGTTGGAGGAAGAAGTTTAGCTTTTAAGACATTTGGCAAATTCAAATTACCAGTTTCCTATAGAATTTGGCCAAAATAGCTCAACTAAGTAATAAATGCAGTAAATATACGTTCCATCATATATTCTCTTCTGATATATGTTTCTGAATAAGTTCTTTAACTTGAGGACGATTGCTAAAAGCAATTGAAAATGATCATTTTCCTCCAACATTGTATTTCACAAGGATTTTTGGCTGTGTAAGTGTTTTAACCTTAAATACTTCAGTAAATATCATAAATTTGCAAACATGTTACTCTACATTTTTTGCTTATCTCTACAAGTTCTATCATCAATTTCCAGGAAGAACATTTTTTGCAACATCCTGTATATATGTATTATGCTACATATTAATTATAGGAATCACACTTAAAATTAGCCTGACTGAGATGAACTATTAGTGATGTAAATTTTATAGGGGATATTCAAAAGGAAAAGTGTACGAGAACAATTCCGGAAATATACGCAAACTGAAGGAAAGTATTCGCAGAAGCAATGATGTTATCAACATTAGTATTTTACATAAAAATCAATCTGAAAACTGTAATTTTTAACTTTTATCCAGATACTGTAATTACATATACTTTGTGTTGCGTTTATGCACTCACTGTAACAATAAAAATATAACTTTTTAAATCTACAAAGAGAAAATTTATTTTTAATTCTTGTACAAAAAATTTAAAATTTTTAGTGTTTTAGTCTAAAGTTTATTTTCAACTTTAATGTTTAAATAATACTTTTGTGTCTGCTTTAGTTTAAATCATAAATGGAAAATAATTTAAATTAAAAAAAAACAAAAAATTCAAGTAAATTAAAAAATAGAATAATTAATAAAGATTTAAATGAAGCGAATTTTATTTATTTTATTACATTAGTTTATATCTAACAGATGGCACATTAATGATATTTTACTCATAATTAAAATTATATTATGATCAATATATTCCATATTTTGCTAGTTTTGTTAGAAATTTGTGTATGTAGTATATGTGTTTATATATATATATATATATATAAACAATACCACACTTATTATTTTCATAATCAGTTTTCTTTCTGTTACTTAATAGAAGCTGTCATTGTCCTTAATTATTTCTACACTGAACTGAAAATGACAAGTAAATGATGCATCATTGCTTAGTAAATTTTACATTTAGAATTATTCCTTAACAAGAAACACAACTGAAAAAACATCAAACAATTGACAAAGTATGTCATTTAACAAATATATAAATGACAAATCTATTACGTGAATGTTTGATCCTGAGGATGATTACTAAGATAGCCAAAAATATTTGATAAATAAAAATTGTTGCTTGAACAGGCTAGAAATCTCTAAATTTACACTTTGCTTCAGTTTAAAAAGCTTATTAAAATATATAAATGTTCATAAACAAAAAGAGAAATTAGCTGTATAAAATCATAATTTCAAATGTAAATTTTTTATAGAGGAAAAAATGAAACTTGGCACCATAATATAATAATAAAAAGCTTACTTTTAAATAGTTTTAGCAACATTAAGCAAAGTTAAAATGTATTTGGCCTAAGATTAAAATGAAAATAACTTTTGATAATTTTTAAAACAGTGGAACCTGATTAACTCAAACTGAGATATCTCAAAGTCTTTCCACAATTATCTAGTATAGAAATTTGCATGTTAAATCAAACTGGTTAACTTGAATGCGTTGAACTGTTTAATTCAAATATTTTCATAAACACTCAAGAATAATTTCTGTTGAGAGTAATGTAACTACAACTGCAGTTATATAAAATATTTAAAAGCATAGCATAAAAATCTAACTGTAAAAAAAAATTACATTACAATGCAATAAAAATAAATTTCTATGAATTTTTTAAAACATTTTAATTTCTTTATCTATACAGGAGTTGCAAAAAAAAATTCTTCCTGGAAATGGGTGATTGAACTTGTTGAGATAAGCAAAAAATGTGGAGTAACATATTTGCAAATTTCAATCAACTTTTTCCAGGAACTACATTATAGTTATTGCTACTTAAACTATCATTTTAAAGATAAANTCTTGCTCCTTTAAGGAAGACCTTGATATATCATACTTTCTATGAGTAAGAGAGGGCACTGTTTCTTCTTCTATGTCTTCTTCAGAAGATACAGACTTTCTTGAAGGTATTTCACTTAAACGTCTCTCTCTTAATTGTTGAAGCTGTTTTGGTAGTTCCGAACTATCAGATTTTAACGAAAAACTCCGCCTTGGAAGATGAGGTAATTTTATTTGGCCTGAAGTCAAATAATAAGAAAATCTCACTTTTGTTTAATTGATATTTTATATAACATTAAACTGACTTAATACTCTACTAACCTGCACGGGACATTAATTGTTTCAATTTAGTAGCAGTTTTACTTTTTGAATAAATATTGGAAGAATCATTAGTTGCATATGTTTCACTTATAATAAAGGAAACTGTAAGTTCCAACTGGCCTCTATATTTATCATTTTTTTTATCTTTCTTACTTTGCAACATGTACCATCTATTTATCAAATAATAACTTATTGGTTAATACAACAGAAATATGATTGATTTATACAATTATCAATTTTGTATTTAATGTTTAATAGCTGTATGTACCAAAAAATAAAAACTAAATTCATAATTTAGCCTTGTATTTTATATATTTATGTTAACTCAACTTATTTCTTAAGAAAAATAAGATTTCACTCATTACAATTAACTAAAAGGTATTGTACTTTTAATATTATATGATTTTATAATTTCTCATTTCTTCTAGAGAATTTTTATTTATACTATAACTAACTCTTATTTTAACTGAAGTTTCAATATTTTTTAATTGAAAAATTTATTAATAAATAAAAAGACGGTCAATTCCAAAAAATTTGATTAAAACTTTGGTCGATCACCTTTTATTTCCGTTAAAATTTTGTAATAGTTCGCCGCCAGGAGGAGAGTAAGGACGATTTACATTTAACAGCGCATTCCTTGAGTAAATATAAGGATCCAAGACTCCCGAATGGAAGAAGGATGACTAAAGACGTCGAAAGATCACCAGTTCCAATTTTTTACAACTTTTTTTACAAGTTTTAATGCTTAAATTGGATTATTTCTGTATTTTAAAGGACTGTTTATAGGCGACCGTGTAGCCTAAAAAGAAAGGTCCGGTCGTTGAAGTTTATTTTTAAATTTTAATGGAAATAAAAGGTGATCGACCAAAGTTTTAACCAAATTTTTTGGAATTGACTGTCTTTTTATTTATTAATGGATTTTTTATATTATAGTCTGATTCAATATAAAAATTTTAACATTTGCAGAAAGAGTTTAAAAATATAACAATTGCAAAAAGTGGTATGTTTGTGATAAAAAATTAAAACAGATTAAATCTAGGCACAGAATATTGCAATTTAAATATTCTTATTAAACACTCAGGAGTGAATGGATCAACCATTCAGGAAAGAATTTCTTGGTAACTTATTTAATCATTTGGTTAAGTGTTTGAGTTCCTGGACAATACAGATATTTACACTGACTAACGAATCCATGTAATAAAACTGACAGAAATATCACATCAATAGTTTATTATGGATCATTAATAAACCAATTTCAAAAAATCTTGATTTTTAGCTGAATTTCTAACTCAAAACTTTTAACTGAAAGTCTGAAGTTTCCCCCAACCAATTTGAGTTAACCAGGTTCCATTGTACAGTAATACCCCGACTTACGCAAACCCGGAGTTACGTGATTTTCAAATCTCGTCGATTCGCCTTTTGTTTGAGCGCCACGCAACCCTTGATTACTCACTCCCCCCACACTATTGTTCAGCTTACATGTTCGGACGTGTCGCGCGGAATCCACACATAGCTACAATTTATTTTCTGTTATTTATTTCTGTGTTTGTTATATCAACGGAGACTCGAGAGACTCTACTATATCATCCAAACGAAGTAGAACTAATTCTTCTGCATCAAACAAGAAAAGAAAAACTTTATCTTTGGAATGTAAAGTTAACATTGGGTATGTTCGTAAAGTCGAACGAGTTAAGCGAGAATGAAGTTATCGTTATTCCTATTTCGTTAGACTTTTCGAACGATTCGTTTCTAACGTGTTTAACTCATTTGACTTTACGAACGTACCCATTATTAAAGACTTCGATACAAAAATGAAAATTTGTGAATTGGCAAAGAAGTTTGACTGGAATTGTCGGTCAGAACAATTATAAAAGGCAAAGAAAAAATTCTCAAAGCTGTGAAAAATGCTCAATCTTTAAATTCGAGCATCATTCGTAAACGTCACAGTACTATCGCTGAGATGGAAACAATGTTAAAATTATGGCGTAATAATCGAGTAAATGTGAAAAATTGTAAAATAATATAGGTCTAATTTGTTATACATATGTATTATCTAAGATTTTATTAAACATTTTATTCTAAATTATTGTTTTCTTTAGTCTCCGGCCCCAATTAAAAATTATTTGTATGTATTTACTTGCGAAATTATACCCCGACTTACGCGGTTACCGCTCGGTCCCACCTATCGCGTAAGTTCGGGGTATTACTGTATTTAGAAACAAATATAAAAAATAATTCAAATTTCAGCAACACAGTTAAAATTTCAGATTCAACACAATTATAAATGCCTTTTTATATCACAATACTTCAGCAATGTATTTAGAATAATGCTTCGAAATTTCTACAGGTATTCACCACGTAACAAACTGCGTGAATAATAAATTATCCATAAGATTACAATGAAGCTGAAAAATTCATAGCCAACTGTAATCTTTCTTCTCTTTAGATACTTTTATGTACATTAATATATATCATTGTGTTACACATAGCCTGTATGAATAGTAGATGATACCAAATACATTTGTTTAAGTACACTATGACATTTGTTTAATGATGTATTTTTCAGAACTTGTCTTTATAGTTAAGTGGTACTCGTACATATCTGTACTTAATTTCAATCCCATTGTGATTTGAATGGTACATTTAAAATTTTTATTAAAGGTAAAAATTAAAAAAAATTCTAAAGTAAATCAAACATACCTTTATTTAAATAACAGATATTTTGTACATACACTTCATATGTATTTTATCTTTGAAGGTGATTATATCCTTTCACTCAAGGATTTCAAATTTATTAGAAATCAATATTCATGATTGAAAATTTATTTCCAGCTTAATGTTTGAGCAATTCAATAATTATATGAAGAAGTTTCTTCCTATCTATTATTTCCTTTAAACTACCTGCAAAAAAAAAAGATAAATACTTTTTAACATATGAATTTTTAATTATTTAAATGAATTCAGCTAATTTATATTAACTATAGCTAATACAAATTAATCATTAGTAGTAGACATTCAGAGCTCTATGTAAGAAGTATTGGCTATACCATGACCAAATTTAGTATAAATACTGTCGAGTAAGAAGTTCCCAATTTTTGTGAAAAAAATTTTATATGAAAATTCTGCCACTGAACTCAAACATCAAAATTTATATTTGGGCCAGTATGTACATCAAATTTGGTTCCCAGATTTTCCCAATAGTTCTTTGTACAGAGTGCTGAACACCTCTAATTATGGACACCCTGTACATTAAAAAAAATTACTTTTAAGTTTGGATGGCCAACCTAGAAAATTCAGAAATTCTAAAAATTAAAAACTTTTAATTTGTACAATAATTAAAAGTTTATTTGTATGGATTCATTATTTAAAGAAGTAAATACAAACAAATTGATATCTTTTAAAATATCTGTGATAACTATTGAAAACTAAAATCGACAACTATGATATTAATGATGCGAAAAATAAATAAAGTAAATTGTAGTTTTAAAACTGTTTGCATATTCAAATTTCCTCTTAAACACTTGACAGAAATTTACAGATGTTTTTATTTCAATCTTCCAATTTGAATCTTTTTGGGCCTGTTGGGATGGAGGAATACTGAAAAAATGTTTAATCTGATAAAAAAATTTGACTCCTTTGGCAATTTAGCATTTGTGTTTTTCTAGGTGTATTTATGGAGTCAACTATTATACAACAGGGTTAGAAATTAAAAATATCTGCTAGTTTTCTGGCAGGCAACCAACTTTAGACTTCTGGTTGTCCTGTAATGAAACTAGTCACCCAGACTACAAGGTGTATTTTTTCTCCTTTTAATAAAATACCAGGTAATAAATACTACAACACATACAAAAAAATAATAATAAAGCTGTTTATTTTTTATGCAACACAGTCACTTATGAAGGCTACTGAAAAAGAAATCATGAACATCTTACTAATTATGTATGTGTATATATATATATATATATATGTGTGTGTGAGAGACTTTTCTTTGTCTTTTGAAAAACTTTAATTGAAACAAGAAAGATGTGGATAACAGGAACGTTTGAAGGAATACAAATTACATAAAAATATATTGTGAGTATTATAAAAAGAACAAATGTAGGACTTCTTTCTCGTCTTTCGTCTTTTCGCGCGTCTTCTTCTTCAACCGTCGTCTCGGTGTTCTCCCTCTGAAGTCGCGTCCCCTCTCTCCTCTCGTCGTCCTCCCTCTCCTCGACTCCCTCTCCCAGCCCCTTCGTCTCTCGTCAGCAGATCGCGTTTCACATTCCACAGCTCGGCCATCCTGTAGATCACTCCGTCCTCGGAGAGATTACCGAAAGACTAAAAACACCTGTACAAAACAAACATAAAACACAACACAAGAAAAAATATGGTTAGAAATGTTTTAGAAAAGTTCTTGATATCAGTCNAGGATAACTTGCCAAAAAGAAAACGCTCTCGGTTAATTAATAGTGTTTTTAGTGATGACGAAGAAAACATTGTTTAATTTATATTAATATGTATCACTTTAAAAAATTTTAATGAAGATATTTATCTTAATTATGAAAATATACTAGCATGTTTTTTAATTTTTGGAACCTAACCCTCCTTTTCGTATTAGTTCTTTGTTTCGTATAACACGGATTCGCATAACAAGACAATTTTTTGGAACGTAACTACCGTGTTATATGGGGGTTACCTGTATATATATATATATCAAAAAAGACAGATGGAACATTGTACATCAAATATACAGATGTCCTCAGACACCTCATGCTTCATTCATAACACTGACATCCCTAAATCACTTCCAAAATTCAACATTTCCATATTTTCAGCTGAAATACAATAATTAACAAACATATGGCACTATGTTCTGTTCAACTTGATTTTGGAAAAATTGCAAGATTTAATTTTTATGACAATTGCCAAGTGTCTGTATAAGTAATAAATTATACAAAGTAATTTGTTGAAAAACAATTTATGACTATTCTCTTTGAAGAGACTTAAAAACCATTTAAATTTTAATGGTTTTAAGTAATGTGTTTTTCTAACAGAATATTGAATATGTCAATGTAAATACTTTCTGCTTTGGCTATCTTCATTTGCACATAGAGGCAATCAAACAGTTATTGATAAAATTAGAAAGAAATTTTAATCAATGCCAATTGGTTGTCATAATGCATCAGGTTATTTTTCCTCTACATTAACATTAATCCAGAGTAAAATGATAACTGGCTGAGTGCTATAGTGGGTGATTATAAGGTTGAGGGCATAGGAGTTGTCCCCAGTTAGCATTGTGAGTAACTGTAAATGGTCATATCTAAGATTAAATATGTCTGGAAGCAGAGAATTGCTTCAAGGTCCAGGTAGTGTAACTGGCAATGCATTGGCCTATTTTTTGTAACAAATTACTTAAAAATTTAATTATTAACAGTAATGGAACAATAGCCCGTGCATTATGGCTATTGTTTGGCATTAATTAATATTGTCAGATTTTGAAAGGTTTATGTATGAAAGAAATTTTATAAATTATTTAATATCAGATGATGTAAGTTCATAAAACTAATGTTTAGTGAATAAATTTGACTTCAAGAGAGAAACAATTACATGTCAAATGTCAGGCAACTTCAATTAACCTTTCTCCTTTCTTTGTTTCCTTATTTTAATTAATATTTCATTGTCAAATTCAGCTGAAGTATGTAGAGTGGTTTTTTTTTCGTTTCTACTTTTTCAAGCTTCAGTTAAATTAAACAATGCTAACATCATAAGACTTTACACTGATAATTTATAATGCAGATTGATTATTAATGTAATACATTGAACAAGTTTTTAAGAACTTAAAAATTAAAAATTTTTTTTCTTTTATTAAGATAGGAAAGTTTTGCTTTTATGGGTGTATATATATATATATACACCCATAAAAGCAAAACTTTCCTATCTTAATAAAAGAAAAAAAATTTTTAATTTTTAAGTTCTTAAAAACTTGTTCAATGTATTACATTAATAATCAATCTGCATTATAAATTATCAGTGTAAAGTCTTATGATGTTAGCATTGTTTAATTTAACTGAAGNTGTATGTATATATATATAACAATGCATTTAACATTATTTAAAATAAACTGTAGGTTAAACAGAAAATGGGCAATCAACTTTTATTCCTTTTATTCAGGAATTTTTTATTTGCCGAGATGAGTTTCAGGCTCAAGCCCCTCTTCTTCCAGCTACATAATAAAACAGAGATAAATTTCTTATATCACAGTATTCCATAATATAACAGTTAGAAACATACCATTACCTCCCAGAATATATTGTAGCATGACAATTGAAAACACGTCATATTTTTTAATTTGCTGTTAAATATATTTCATTATTAAATACTTTTACATTTAAAACTGTCTCACATTAAAATTATACTTACATTTAAACTTTTTGTGAATAAAGGATATTTCCCATACACTAAATATCTCAAAGAATCAATTTCTACAATATATCCAGGGAGGTAATGGTATGTTTCTAACTAAACTAAATGTTCCAACTAAATAAAGATGAAATACCACCAAGTGTTGAAATAGAAACACACCTTGTGTTAGTGAATCAAAAAAATGTTTCTAACTGTTATATTATGGAATATTGTGAGATAAGAAACTGCTCTCTCTGTTTTATTATGTAGCGACAGAAAAGGGGCTTGAGCCTGAAACACATCTCAGCAAATAAATTCACAAATAAAATCTGATGACAGAATTGCTAAGTGTCTGTATAAGCACCTACTAGTGATAACAAATTATTCAAATAAATGAACACATGGTTTCAGAATATATTACGAAAATTACTTTGTATACCAAGAGACTATATTTTCTTTATCAATTATATTACAAACAATGAATTTCTTGCACTCCCAGGAAAATATCCATTATTCAAAAAATCTGCTTTTAAACCACCAACACACACACAAAAAAACCACCTGTACTTGAAATTATTCAGTCTCTTGAGATTTCTATCCTTTATTTATATAAACATGTATATTACAAGATTTTTACAGTATAATGTAAAAAAGCTGACAGAAATAATATGCATTATAAACCAAAAAGTGACAAAGTATGTACAGTAGAGCATCGATTATCCAACTCAATTGGGGACTGGGGTTGGTTGAATAATTGAAAAGTCGAATAACCGAAAAGTATGAAAAAATCCATTATTAGTGTAGTATATTATTATATCCCATGTAATTAGTATATCGCTATTAACCTACTTTGCATTGAATTTTCCCCCGTGTTAAGACTATCAAATTTTTTTTTAAAATAATAATCGTTGCTATTGTATCGTTAAAAATTAGAAAATTAAGCCTCGTTTAAATACTGGCTCCCTTTCATGGTCAATCCAGTGTTGCCAGCTAAAACACCTAAAAATAATATTAAAGTAGCCAAGACATAGCCAAATATTGTAGCGCCACATCACTAGCGGACATTTGAATTTGCTGACTAGAATGCAGTTGGTTAACAGAGGTGATGGTTAATCGGGAGTCGGATAATCGATGCTCTACTGTATAATCATTAGCACTTCACAATGTTAAAAACTTGTCCATCTTGGTTTGCTTTGATGACACCACATTTTTGGGCTTTTTAGCATTCTGTCATTAAAATGTTTTTCTGGTCATCATCACTGATAAGGTTTTATTGATATGTACAGTGAAGAAAGGTATTTATGGGATCATGAAGATTCAAAACACTTCAACAAAACAGAGAGGAGTTGTCAACAGTCTTGGGCAATTATGTTCATGATCAATTTTCTCATACAGACTTTCCTGTTTTTTTTTCTTTATGTTCTTTAGCTATTTTGTCTTCAGCTAACCTTAAAATTATTACTTTTATGATATGCACCTTCTGTCAGGTAGTCATGTTAATTTGTCTGTTATGTGAT